TAGACAAAGGTGAATATAAACTGCTATGGGGGGCTATGTTGAGTGTGTGCGTGCAGGTAAAGAGGCGGTTGAGCCTTCTCGGTGTCAAGCTGCCGAGTATCCGCTTTTTGCTTGGGTGAATTAAAGGCACCTTCAGGGGAGGGCTAGAGAATGGTGTCAGCAGTAGTCATTCAGTAGATGTATGATGGCACAGCCTGACACCCACTGCAGGGCCTAGGGATGGGTCACAACATCATTTGACATCAACGCTGGAATCCTCAATTAGCTTTTTACTGCATAATGATCACTAACTACGGACCCCTGGAGCCTCCTCAAGGACCATTGGGACCACTTCAAGGATCACTACAACACCCTAAGCAACATTGTCAAGGACCTCTTGTACCTCATCAATGACGTCCCAAAAAACTAAGTAGACCTGCTCACTGATTGGCTAACAGGTGTATGTGTATACCTTATAACAGGACAGCTCAACATCAGTCTAGTCAACAGTTTAACCAAAGATCTAAATCAGAGCTCATGGGATATTATTACTGCATGTAACCATAGCAACAGTGCAGATGCTAACCTTACCATGGGTCAAACAGACTACATTAATTGTAAACCACAGTGTCTCCCCCGACACCAAAACTCAAAGCACAGGACTGGTCAGGACTGCTATGATTGTGTGTAAGGGAGTTTGTATGTATTGCGCTTGTGTGTGTGTGTGTGTGTGTGTGTGTGTGTGTGTGTGTGTGTGTGTGTGTGTGTCTTGTGCAATTACGTGATGATGTCGTTTTAGAAAAATGTGGTGATTCAACTAAAGAAACATGTGAGGAGGAATGAGGAGAGGAGGATGAAAAGAAAAGAAAGGAAAGGAGGAGAGGTGAGGGGATGGAACAGGGGAAGGGAGGATGAAGAGGTGCAAAGGATAAGAAAGGAGAAATAGGATAAAAGAGAGGAAAATAAAGGAAAAAATGAGTGAGAGAAAGACCGTGTGTGTTTATAAATCAGTCTGTCTGTCCTCTCCAGATTAACACCCAGCCTCATGGGGCTCTGATGGCCCACTTCCTGTTTTTGGACCAATAAGAGACAAGCATGGGCCCCCCAAACCCCTCCTTCTCTCCTCAGTGGTATCTGATAACCACCCAGAGCCCAGGGGATTGTGGGAGAATAGAGTCATTCTGCCTGTTTATCAGACTCTGTGAGAGCAACAGTACATTTTAATGACTCTGTTGTTATGTTCACCTAAACATGTTCCTGCTCAAAGGCACTCCGGCAGGAGCTAACTTTCAGAAGGTTCAGTGCAACTGCTCAGTCACCCTTTCAAAATAAAATCATCCTGGAGCTGTGAATTTTCCAAGAACCAACAACACTGTTTCCAAACTCTGCAGTTTCAAAAGGTTTTTAGAACTATTGTGAGTACATAGCTTCAACTTCAACAGGATACAAGAAAAAACAACACAAGTAAATGCCTGTGGTCACAATAGCACCCCCCTGAGGCTGTGATGTTCATTACAAACTCACACACACACAACACACACACACACACACACACACACACACACACACACACACACACACACACACACACACACACACACACACACACACACACACACAGAGTGTACTTCCAGGACCTGACCTCCATATTAGGATGAAACTGGCTGTAGCAGAGTGTCAGTATTTATAGACTGTTTGTCTGTACGGACTGAGTTTATACACACAACACTGTGTGTGTGTGTGTGTGTGTGTGTGTGTGTGTGTGTGTGTGTGTGTGTGTGTGTGTGATAGAGAGGGAGATGTACAGGCCCCATACGTTTATGTTTGTTTTTGATCATATTCAGGAACATTCAGGTCAGCAACTGCTGATATGACAATGAGCGTCAACCCCCAGTAAACCTTTTTCACAGCAGCCATTTTGATATGAAATAGAAGGGTAAACAGGTGTTTCCGATGATACTAATTAAGGTTCTGTTCCATTCAGGTCAAACAGAGTCAGGATGCTGCTGTCGTGCATGTTGGCTCACTGGAAAGGCTCTGCTACACTAAATGGAACAGAACCTTAGTTAGTGTCACTGGTAACACCTGTGTTTACCCTACTACTTCATGTCAAAATGGCTGCTGTGAAAAAGGTAAATGGAGTGTTCCCTTATGCACTCTTCTCAGCATGAAACAGATGTTTAGTTCAGTGTGAGCAATGGGTTTAACGAACAGCTGGAGGTTTCCTTGGTGACCACCTAGTTTGTGTATGTCTAAAATGAGCCTGGTAATATACAAAAACATTTTGTAGGAAACATAAAATTGGCAGGAAGTATTGTTTTTTATCAACACAATGACAAAATGTTTAAAATGCATGTTTCTGCAAGCTGTTCACTGATAACTTATGTCACTTTATGTCCACTTGTGGAAACTAAAGCATGATCAACCTGTTTATGGTTAAATTAAAGCACTTGGTTAAAGGTGCAATAATCAGAATTCTTATATTAACAATGGTTTAAATGAAGTTGTACATTATCTGCCCAGGACCAAATCACAGGCAACGTTAGAGACTAGCTGGTTAACATAGAGGCACATTTATCAGCTTAAAGCAGCAGCAGGTAACTTTTATAAAAAATAACTTTTTGGCATATTTGCTGAAACTTTATATATATATATATCCTGACAGTAGTACATGAGACAGATAATCTGTGAAAAAATCAGGTTCCTCTGGCTCCTCCTAATGGCATTTGCAAGAATCTACCGGGCCTGAACGAAAACAACCAATCAGAGCCAAGAAAGATAGAAAGGTTGGTGGCTTGAAGATAGTTGATTGTTGAGTCTCATTTCCAGGAACAAAAGCATCGGTATTTGACAACTTGGGAAGAAGACTCAAAATAAACAATCTTTCTCACCAATGATTGGCTGTTTTCCAACTTTTTTCCAAAAGTTACCTAAGAGCCAGATATTTCCTGTAGGAAGTAATCAGGTGAGCAGAAACATGGCAGCAAATGAATAATAATGTTGCTCTGTATCTGCTGGATGTGTGAATCAGCAACTCTTTGTTAACAAGTTCTCCATATCAATTTTGCATGGTGATAATATGCCAAAAAGGTCAGTTAATTCAGGTTTAATGGCCCAGCACACCCACACAGGTGTTTCTCTGCTGCTGGCTATAATGTGAGGTCACTGGACTCCATGCCCCAATAATAAGGATAAAGGTGTAATTTGTTCCACCCTGGCAGAGGTCCCACAAAGCTAACAGGAGAGTGAGGAAGATGTCAATCAAACACACTCCTACACACTCAGCTCTTATCATCCAAAATAAGTGAACTCACCCCAGCACATTAACCCAGAATGGCTTGCCTTAGAGGACACATAGGTAAAGATTCAGCCATGTTTGAGCCCCATTCAGACCCAGACTCAGATGAGTATAAGTATAGTTAGCATCTTTTATTTGTTCATGTTGGTTGTTAGCTTGTTAGCTCGTAACTGGCAGTGGCTGATGCAATGAAACGTGTAATATCTGTTACAATGTTACAGTGTGTTCACATTGTCACGTTGTTTTTACGTAGTGGAAGGAAGCTCTAGGCTCTGGTTTACATCCAAAAACTGCACACTCTGACACACACTGACATTTGCTAGACAGCGACTGGCTTTTGAATTTAATACATACCAAACCTAGCCTGAACTGGGGTACATTTGAATCTTAGATTTTACGGAAGTGTACAGACATTCAGTAGAGGAATATGTCTCTCTCCTCTCCTCTCTAGTGACAAACTGCACAGATAGTCAGTAAAATCAAGTTCAGACATTTAAGGGGAAAAAACATAAGAAAAATGCATTTTGAGTGCATTACAACATATATAAATAGTCTGCTTGGAACAATAATGTGTGTCTATGTTTTTTCTCATAACATTTTTTTAATTGTATATTGTATTAAAGTCCTTAAAACATTTCATTGCATTTAGTCCTTCCACCTCACGCCAATTACATAAATGAAACACCTCTTAGTATAATGCAATACAGGTCAACAGCAGCACAAACCACAGCCTCCAAAGAGACCGGATTACTTTATTATTATTATTATTATTATTATTATTGTTATTATCACTGAGTGGATCTTATAAACTGTAGTGTATATCTGGGTCAGTAGGATGGATATGGCACCCAACCAACAGTAACAACTGAGTTCTAATATCTTCATTTTACTTTCACAGTTATTCAGTTATAAACATATATATTATCAATTAATGTTTAAACTCACCAAACTTTATTTTCAATCCAATATTTTTTAATATTTTCAATTTTAAATATACTAAATAGGTCAGGATGCATTTTGGAAAAATGTGTACAAAATGATGCACACAACATGCAAACATGACCAATGTGGAGTCTTATGATAAGGTCAGCTGCACAAAGAAAGCTGAAATAAAAATATTTGAAATAAAGATTTAAGATGCATAACAGCATCACAATCATTTTATCTCACATAGATGAGGCTAATTGTGATGCCTCGTTGTAATGGCCACGTTGTCTCACAAACAGCTGTACTGAGCCTGCAACCTGATGAAGACACAGGAAACACTGTGAGGTTGTTACCATAGCAACCCGAGCAGCCTCCGTTTACACAGTTTGTTTTCCTGTTGATCTGAGGTTGAACCCTGAGTCACAAACAGGACACTAAATCCTCTGACTGTAACTCTTACACACACACAGACACACAAAGGAAGCACAGGCAGGACATCCTAACACCAGGGGTGATGACCTCCTCAGTAAACCTGTCACTGATTTGACATCACTTCCTGTTCTAACCCACACGCATGGCGCCTGCCCGTCCAACACGGTTAGAAAAATAAAGAGAACTTATCGACACTGGAAGGAACTGTTATCATACAGCAGACAGGAAGTCCCAGTCAACAACACTACGGCAGCAACTGCAACTCTGAGGAGATTTCTCAGGATCGAACCAGTTTCATGGTTTCATGATTGTGTGCACTGTCAAAGCCTCACACCTGCCTTCAGATCAGCTCTGGACCTCCTACCTGTTCTTGATGCGAAGCTGGACTCCTCCTGCTGAACATGGTCGGCTTTGGCGGGATGACGACGGTGTTTGTTGTGTTTGTTTGTTTGTTATGGGCGATGGAGAAGAAAGAGGAGGAGGAGGAGGAGGAGGAGAAGGAGGAGGAAGAGCAGGGAGGGAAGGACGTGAAGTAGCAAACTCCTCGATGTACCCTGGATCAAACTCCCTGAGGACAGAGACAGAGAACGAAAACATTATTTTGATGATGATTATATTGTAATGAATGTAGATCAAGTGAAGGAAGAAAGTAGAAATCGAGTGAGAAGTAGGGTTAGTTCCCATGGCCCATGGAGCTGCCCCCTGCTGGCCATTATAAAGAATGCACATTTAAGTTAGTTCTGTGTTGGCTTTACTTCACAGACTCAGAAGCTCTGCTCATCATTTATGCTGTCAATGTTTTCAACCAGTTTGGGATGTCTTGTTGAACTGAAAAATGTTCACTGGGTTTGATCGCTGTTAACATTGGCTAATCTATAACTAACACACCTAATCACCACACGGCTGACAAAATAAACCAGGCCTGCTGCCTTCAGGTCCGACTGGTTCAAACAGGACTGTCTGCATGTCTGTTTTTTTGTTCCTATGACATCCCATTCACAATTTAGTCATTTATCAAATGCTTTTCGCCAGAGGTCAAAGGTCAACTGCGGAATCAACAACAAGTGGAAGAGGTCTAAGTTCAGAGGCCACAGGATCCTGGAAGCAGAACAACTCCTGTGAATCCTTTTGTTGGTCGAACAAAGAGAGAAGAAAATGACTGTTTAAGTATGTGGGCCAGTGAACCACCTGTCTACCAACCCACACACGCACAAACACACACACACACACACACACACACACACACACACACACACACACACACACACACACACACACACACACACACACACACATTGGATAAACAGGTTCATTCAGTACAATTTTTTTCGTACATCTGTAATTAAAGGACCAGTGTGCAGGATTTAGTGGCATCTAGCGGTGAAGTTGCAGATTGCAACCATTTTAATACAGCTCGAGCCAGTGTTTTGTTTGTCCATTCTGGGCTACTGTAGAAACATGGTAGTTCAACATGGCATCCTCCATAGAAGAGGACCCGCTCTCTCTGTAGACATAAACAGCTCATTCTAAGGTAACGAAAATACAACGATTCGTATTCTCAGGTGATTATACACTAATGAAAACATATCTATGAATATTATATTCCATTTCTGACAATAGATCCTCCTAAATGTTACACACTGGACCTTTAAACAGCAGAAAAATCCTTTCTCATAAACTATTATGCAGTGTTTTGGCATTGCTAAGCCTTGAGACTACTGGATCTATCTCTGTAAAAAAATGATCATAAAGTTAAATCAACATCTTTCTACGAGACTTTCAACAAATACTGATCATTATTTTGTTTTTTAATATACTTCTTTGGGATTTTCATGCCTTTAGTTAGTATTTAGTAGTAGTATAATAGTTACAGTAGTTAGTATAGAGACAGCTGAAGATAGACAGGAAAGGGGGGCTGACATGCAGCAAAGGGCCCTGGGCTGGAATTGAACCTGGGCTGCTGCGGTGAGGACTGAACGTCTACTGCACTCAGATTTATACTTCTATGTCGAATTGACGGTTTAGGTAATCCATAAGTACAGCACAGTCTCATACCTTCTACTGTAGCCTATGAAATAGCCTGATAGCCAGAAACACTACATGCCATATTCACCCATTCACACAGTGATGACAAAGGCCATCACAAACAGAAGCTGACTCATTCATCCACACTGCACAGCATCGGGTTCAGCATCTCGCTGAAGGACACTTTGACACGCAGCGGTAGTACTGGGGATCGAACCACCAACTTCATGATTAGTGGACAACACGCTCTACCTCTTGAGCCACAGCCGGCAGACAACATAACTATGCGTCGCGGCAACGCAGGCCTCAACAACTATGACCGGTCCACTTGGTGTGTGTGTGCATTGTCTGAATGGTAAGCGACTCATGCAAAAGACAGATGAGTTAATAATGCTGTTTGAGAATCCCTCTTCAAACACACACACACACTCACACACACAAACAGGGCACATGGGCACATGGGACACTGTCTTGCTGCATGACATGCTCTTGTCTGTCCCCTCGTATTCCCTCGTCCTTTCATTTCACGGGCAAACAAACGAAATGAGGAAAACACAAGACAGATTGAGGAAAGAGACAAGGGAGTTTCAGTTTCAGTCGAAACCCAACACAGTGGCATAGAAACCCCACCACCAACTAGTGTTTTGGCAGCTTTATTAGCAGAGCAATGCAGACACACCAGCACACAGGTACAAATGCTCATAATGGCGTAGGCTACGGTGTAGGGTTGAAATTAAATTAAATTAAATTTATTTAATTATTAAATGTGGAAAGTGTTACATAATTTTGACTAAGGTAATTAATGTTTCTTCCTCCATTAATTGCAGGCATCTACTGTATATTATGGTTGTTAATCACACACACTGAAGTTACTGTTCAAAATATATGATTAACTTCAGAACTTATATATGATGAGACTGATGATAAGCACGGCAGTATTTAATTAAAGTCAGAGCTGTTTCCTCCTTCCACCCAGCAGAGCCAATCCTTTTAAACAGAGAGACAATACAGAAGACAATACACAGCGCGCGCACACACACACACACACACACACACTGAAACACACCCAGACTTATATTATTAACTGAGGACATTCCACTGAAGAGTATTCAGAGCTTCATACATCTAAACACTAACCTGTACCACACACACACACAGGTGCATAGATAAAGGCCCATTAAAGTGAAACCTGTTGAGCTCGTCAGAGAGGAATGTGCGGCAGCCACAACACCCTGAATCACCTGAACAGGAGGGACCGTGTTGTCACATTCCACTTTCCATCTCACTGCAAACACACACACACACACACACACACACACACACACACACACACACACACACACACACCAGTCCAACAGTTTTCAGGTAGTTACTCTGACAGCAGCGTTCAGCCAGAGGGAAGTCTGAATGAGACCCCTTTTAACCTTCAATTGAACCTTATGCTGGTGTGTGTTATTTTAAATCTAAAATGATGCACAAGACATGGAGAATACTTCTATTTGATGGAATATTCTCTCTGGGGAAATTACAGTGACAGACAATCCCGAGACACGTGCCAGAGTTCCTTTTATTCCATGTAGTTCAATAGTTCATGTTCATGTCCTTCCAATGGAGCCGCTGTGATCAGTGGATTAGCTTCAACCCAATATAACGCCAAAGCGTGAAATACAGATAGATAGATAGATAGATAGATAGATAGATAGATAGATAGATAGATAGATACTTTATTTATCCCGAGGGAAAAAAAACACACGCTGGTCCACCGCGGCAGTGTCACATTTCCAACATGTGCTCACTCCTCGGTCATTTAACGATAATAAATATGCAACATTCGGATACACTTTCAAAATAAAGCTTGCTGAGGTTGCTAACTACTTGGCTAGGTTTAGGAAAAGATCATACCTGACAAAATCTAAATGTACTTTTGGTTTCACATGAGACCCAAACAGGGGTCTCCTGAGTGAAGGTCCTGTGTTTGTTTCAGCCATCCATCCACACATTCCAAACACTGGGTTTGTTGCTCTTTATTCTACTACTGGTGCTGCACCTTCATACACGCGTGTACTTTTCACGTGTAAGCGAAGCAAACTGTGACACAGAGTCCTCTCGTGGATCGGCGAGTCTATTACACACTTGGGCATCAGACTGGGCTGCATATGATGACCTACCAAATCATGTTGTGGTGGATATGTGTATAAGTTGTTATCTTGTGAGTTTCAGTAACAGATGGTATGTCTGTGGTCAAAGATAGTCTCTGTTAATGACCTTTGACCTGCTGCACGTCAATCTCTCTATCCTCTACCTCACTGATAACATGTTGTGCTCTGCGATAGGAAACCCCTCACCACTGAGATCTTTGTTATTGGTGGTGGTTAGAGCTACACCTGAACCTGATGTGTGAGATGTCTGTTGCCACACAAGCAAAATCCCATTCTAAAAACCACCTCCTCGCAGCAGCTCCATTCACAGAGGAAGGCCATGAGATGTTGATGTAAGCTCTGGATACAACAAAGATGTTCGATCTTGTGCTGGGAGTTTTTGTTAAGCGGCTGTATCAAAGATCAAGAAAGAACCTTGAAGTCCAGTTATTATAGATAAAACAGTTGGGGATGACTTGGCTAATCCAGTTAATAACCCTTGGCTGGACTGACCTTCTAGGGCAGAGGTAACCAACCTGCAGCTCCTTTGCTCCCTCTCTAGTGGCTCCCTGTGGCTTTGACAAAACATTATATAGCACTGATAACGGTTACATTTTAACACTTTCATTTTCATTGATCATTGTTGTAAGCTTACAGTGATTCTTACATTCTCCAATTGTAAAAAGGTACAGCATCTACAGGCAGAATAAAGAAGCATTTTGTCATTTTGTCAATTAAAATGTGTCAGACATACACAACTCTTCAGTCTCCCTAGCTAGGAAAACTATGGATTCCAAAACCAAAAAAAGGAAGTTGCTAAGACAAAGTAAAATAGAGAATTACTACTGCATGGACAGATGTGTTTGCTTTCACCACCCAAGCTGCCAGCTTACTGGTGTGCTTGACCTGCGGTGATAAATTCGCTATGTAAGGCTCAAATATGTTTTGCGGCTCCAGACATATTATTAATTTTCTTTTGGCTAAAAAAATGTCTCTTTTGATTGTCAAAGTTGCGGACCCCTGTGCTAGGTGAAAAAATGAAGTGGGGGACCCTGGTGGCCTGGGGGTTAAGGCATTGGCCAGTAAAAAAGAACTTGCTGCTTGACTCATTTACAGAAGGAATTACAGCTTGATGCAAGTTGTCAACACATCTTATCAGAAATGGCAGAAAGGCTTCTGGTCCAGACACCTGATCTCAACAACAGGAAGTCAGTCAATAAGAGACTCACAGCTACGCCTGTCACAATCATTTTGTTATCGACTAACTGTACAAGTTACAGTGTGTAATTATCCCTGTCACAATATCAATTTAGTGTTTCAGAATGTCACCACCATTTTACATGATGCCACACAGTTACATAACTATATTGCCTGTTAAGGAATGAATGACTCTATAGTCTACTGT